CTGACTGAGCCACCCAGGATCCCCACTTCTGATATTATTTAAGCAGAAAACAAACTTATTACCTAAATGACATCCTTGTCTTATTTTTTAAGTCAAGGGAAGTATTTAATATTTTCCCATTAAGTATGATTTTAGTTGTTGTAGATATTCTTTGTTAGACAAAGGGTGTTCCTTTCTATTGCTAGTTTGTGGAGAGGTTTTTTTTTTTTTTTTTTTTTTTGTCATGAACAGACTTTGCATTTTACAAGAGGATATACATATGTATATATAATATTCTCTTGTATACATATACAATATCCCCTTAATCAATTGAAGAAAGGTCTCCAAAATTCCTACTTTGCAAAAAAATTTTTTTTCATGCATGGGTACTGAACTTTATGAGATGGTCTTACTGATCACATGACTTTTTGACTCTTTAGTCTTTAACTGTGGAGAATTACATTTTGAATATTAAGACATATGAGTTAAGAGACCAGAAAATGGCACACATTAAGCACTCAGCAAATGTTAATGTTATTTTCCATAAGCATTGCTGGAGTCATTTTTATTTGTGATTCGTGATTTGTGCATCTATGTTCATAATTAAGATGGGGGTGTATTTTCCTTTCTTGTGTTTTCCTTTCTGGTTTTTATGTCACATATACACCAGCTCACAGAATTAGTTGGAGAATGTTTTTTAATTCTCTGAAAAAGCTTAGTTAAGACTGTATTATTACTTGCATATTTTTTCTAATTGTACAACTGTAAAACTAAATGGAACAGGGTTTTTTAATTTATTTTTATTTTCTTGGGGGTTGATTTTAAAATACTGATTTGTCTTATTTTTTATAGAGATATTCAGGTTTTCTAGCACCTTACCTCTCAAGTATGAACCAAGGCAATACTGTTCATACCTTTTCTTTTTTAAGTTTATTTATTTATTTTGAGAGAACTAGAGAGAATGCCCATGGGGGGGGGGAAGAAAAAAGGAAAAAACAGCAGGGCCTAACGGCAGAGGGGAGAGAGAGAGAGAGAGAGTGAGAGGGAATCCCAAGTAGGCTCTGCACTGTCAGCACAGAGACTGACATGGGGCTTGAACTCACAAACTGTGAGATCATGACCTGAGCTGAAATCTAGAGTCCAATGCTTAACTGACTGATCCACCCAGACACCCTGATACTGCTCATGCCTTTAATTTTTTTCTCCAAATGGAAGAATTTTTCGCAATTTCCTTCTCATTGGAAGAATTCAGAGAATATAAAACAGACAAATGGAGTCTAAGCAATTTAAATAAAATGAATTTATATTTACATTGAATGTAAAAGTCAACGTTACTTATATATAGTTATTAATAATGAAAAGTAGTAAAAAATTGGCTTGGAAATATTGAAATATTGGCCTTCAGGGATAAATACACAAGCTCTTTGACAGTCTCTCATGATTGACTTGTAATTATAAAGGAGGCGTTTGGTTTGGAATTAAGGACAAACATGTACAAAACAATTGAAAAATGTTATCAGTGGAGTAATATCAACTAAGTATAAGAAGTAGTCACCACTGGTATACCACCAGTCTTGCCTGGCCCTATCTGGTCTACTTTTTCCTTACTATTTTAAAATGAAGGTAGAATGGTTCCGTTCATAAAATTTACACATGCCAAGAACCCGAGAAGAACTACAGATACACTGAGATGAAAGAATCATTATCCAATAAGGTCTTGTTATGCCAAAGCAATGGGGTAATTCTCTAAAAAAGGAAGTATAAGAGGATAAAACTAAGTATATAAGGCTGTTTGTTGGTACCCAGTATTCATTTTAACCATTGCTGGCAATAACCCTGGATTTGGGGAGCAGTGATCTGCATCCCATCCATGTAGTTCTGCTGTAGTTGACCCCCTTTCCTGCTTTGAGGGGGTTCATTACCCAAGCCCGGCCAACTGAAAGACTGTGCTCCCAGGAACAAGCATGGATTGGTTCAGAAATAGGCATATGGCCCATGTTAGGTCAAGCAGAGACAATGAGACTGGGTATGGAGATTTTTTGCTTAATTGGTATTCTTGATGATGTAAACTGGAAGCTGCAGAACCCATAACATGGATCATGAAAATGAAACCAATCCAGGGGCACCTGGGTGGCTCAGTCAGTTAAGTATCTGACTCTTGATTTCCAGCTTAGGTCATGATCTTACTGTCACGAGATTGAACCCAGCACTGGGTGTTGAGTCTGCTTAAGATTATCTTTCTCCCTCCACCCTTCCCCCAAATCTCTCTCTGTCTCAAAAAACAAAACAAAACAAAACAAAACAAAAAAAACAAAAAACAAGTAGAGAGAAGAAAGAAAGTGAACCTAATCCAAAGGAAGCAGAGTTGAGTAATGACTTTTGGTACCACCACTGAGCCCTGAATCAAGTCATATTGGAAGTCTGATGTATTTATGTACTTTTCAGTCATGTGTTCTGATAAGTTCTTCCTCCTTCTCCTCCCCTCCTTTGTCTTTTCTTCCTCTTCTTCATTATCACTATCCTCCTACTCATCACCAAGCTATTCATACCTGGTGTTTCTATCACTTAAAATACTACTAATTGGTAAAATGGGATAGTAATAGGATTTTTGTTATGGAATTCTTGTGAGGATTAAACGATATAATCCATATAAAGTGCTTAATACATTATTTGGCATAAAGAGAGCATGAAATAAATTTTAGCCATTGTAGTTATAATTGTCATAATCATTATTGTTATTACTGAGTAGATAACAACCTCTGTAGACATTGAAAAGTGGGAGAGTGCAGATTAGGATAATATAAATCAAGGAAGATCTAAAAGGAAGAAAACTGTAGGTAAGGAAAACAGAAATCCCAATGATGTCTCCTAGGGCTGATTGTAGGGTATATATGACAAAGATATGCAGAACAGAAACTTACTCAGAGACAGCAAGATCCTCTCTACCCTGCAGCTTTAAGTTTGATGGGCTCATGTGAATGGCTGTGGAGTTATCCAGACACATTAGTCTTAAAAATCTAAACCCTGAAATATGTAGCCCCAACTTCTTATAGGTCAAATTATCATGTCTTTTATGGTAATTTTTATAGTGTCACATCGAATAAACCAAATCGTTTGTTTATTTCAAATGCTTGCAATGAATTCAAAAAGTGTATTTGTGTTTCAAAAGAGTTCTTTGTTATTAAAAGTGCAATTCAAAAAAAGAAAAAAAACAAAAAGAGAAAAAAAACATGAGCTAAGCTCTTGGCAGCTGCAAAGAAACAATTCATTTTTTTTTTCAATAAATCTGTTACTTGCAAGTCAACTACCATGGTTTTAAAATGTGTGGTGTGTAGAAGCGTTTTTTAATATCATATAAAATCTCTTTCAAATATGTAGTCAAGGTGGTGAAAAAGGCATAACTGCTTTTCTGGACTTTTAGAAACTTTAGCATCATGATTAAAAGTTAAATTAGCAATTCAATCCTGTAGCCAAAGAAAATGAGAAATTAATGATACTGCCTAGTAACATCAATGACAAATCTTTAGAGGGAAACACAGGTAAAGTGATGAATCTCCACTGTCAAGGCTGGGCTTCAGACATATCTGGGCATCTGTCAGACCACTGAGGTGGCTGGTCAGATGTCGAGGGTTGGTGCTATGAACTCTTCTTAGGAATGTCTGGTACAATGAAAAAAGCCTTTGTCCTTGGTGGGCCATAGTCATTTTGAAAACTTTTTGATTAATTTCTTGCTAGCTTGATTCTTGGCTGGATAGTTGAGCCCAGGCATGAGAAAGTTTTTAGACAGAACGGAAGGATACATTTTACTGCAAACTTGGGAACAGTTTGGTACTGGGAGCTAAGCAACCCCGCTTTGGGGCCTCTTTATCAAAGTGTAACACCAAGGAGAGAGACAGGTGTTCTTCCCCATCCTGCCATAGGCTGCCACATGAAATTAGTGAAGTGGGGGTTAGCTCCTGAAGCTTCAGGGGGAGCGGCACAAAGGAACAGAGGCTGCCATCCTTGACAAGGCAGTATGCAGTGAAATCAGTTCCTGGAACCTCCATGGTAGCAGCCACAGAGTTTGCTGGGCTCGGGGTAGTAGAAGTGGACACCACCATAGCATGCTGGGCCAGGAAGCACAGGGAGAGTAACAACGTGGGCTTATGAATTGGTCTGGATACCTCAGAAAGGGAGCATTTGTGGAGCATGGAGACTCTAAGAAACACTTGGTCTGAGTGGACTTTACAGAGGGTTGATGCTCAACCTGAGCACTTGGAGTATGTGGCAGTAGAATGTGGGCCAAGATACGCATAGACCTTTGATTATTATTAATGAGAACTGGGGGAATTGGGTGCATATCAGATAATACCATATATTGTCTCTGATCCCAAATCAAAGATACCAAAAAACCATGGTTTCTGACAGATCTGAAACCAAAGGAAAAACTTAAGAAAAGAGAATAATTTGACTGGACTAACTTGATCTCTTTCATTCAAATATGAAACAATTAACAGAGATGTCCTGATTTGATTTCTTTATGGTAGTATTTAACACAGTTACACATCAGTCCCAAGTCATGTTCACAATTGAAGAAGTCTTCACATGTTCTCTGGTATATTTTACCTAACATCCCTTGCTTTTGGAAACCAAAGGCAGGAGAGGTTGTCCATCTGCCACTGAGAACAGTGGGTTATGTTCCACTCAGTGCAGACAAGTAGGTTCTCCACAACTGGTAGCTGGACAAGGTGACCAGAAGCATGGAAAACACCATTCCCCAAACTGAGAAATGTAGAGTTAGAAGAGAGAGAGCTTACAACTCCTCTATGAGTCAAAATAATTCATCTGCCCAGTGAAGAGACACAGGCTCAACCAGCCCAAGAAATCTCACCCCCGTTCACCAACCAGCTAGTGGCAAAGCAGAGAATCTAACGTACCTCTCAATACTCTAGGTCTCCCTTCCACAATCCATTACTGCTTCATGAAAATATTTTCAAATCACTCCTAGAAAAACATCCCCACACTCAGCCTTTGCACCATACCTTGGAGTATGCTCTTTACTATAACGTCTGTGTGATCAGCCAGAAGATCTGCCTTGGTGATTGCAGCCAGGGACAGGTAGTTGGACATATTCCTGCACAGTTCCTTGTTGCCTCTGTGGAGGAATTTCACTGCTATGGGGATGGCTAACGCCATCACAGGGGGCCGGTTGTAATTCTGAGGAAACATAAGAAAGTAACAAATAATAAGTGGCTCATTATTCATTCATTTATTCATTCATCCAAAAAAATATTTATTGAGCTAATGTCCAGAGTGCAGCTGTGAAAACACAGACCCCACCCTGTTTTCATTGTATTTGGGCCTCTGGGAATTCTTGTCCTTATTAGGGAGACTTGGAGGCAAACAGGCAGCTAACACCGTACGCTGATGGGGGCACTGACAGGCAAAGTTCAGAATACTGAGGGAACAAAGGAGGAACACCTAACCCAGTCTTGGACGGTGCCAAGACTTTCTGGGGGGAGTGGTGTCATAGCTGGACCTGGTGGATGAACGGGAGATGGCTGGGTGATGGCAAGGAAAGGAATGAACAGAGAAAAGCACCTGTGGAGGCACAGAGGTGAGGGAGAACATGTACCTTTGGAAATTGTGAATAGCTCACTGCGGTGGGAGTGTGGGCCATGTGGGAAGGTTGGGGTAGGGAGGTGAGCACAGGAACTGGAAGAGTAAAAGGGACATGATTAGGAAAGGTCTGGCATTCCATGCCAAGGAGTTTGAAATTGATCAAGAGTCACTGATGACAAAAATAACTCATCAGATTTATACTTGAGAAAACAACCCAAGGAATGTTGAACAAGTCACTTTTTTGACTTCATCTTAAAAACTAAAGTTTCAGCCAGTGAGATTCAGAAGAAAAAAAGTGAACGAACATGAGACTAAAAATGAAAGAAATTCTGGGTCCTAAAACAATTCTCTTTTTCATATACTTCGTGATTGACCATCAATGTCCTTATACATTAAATAGTGCTATCTGCATTTAATTGCCTATGAGGGAATAATAGTTAAAACATACAAAACATTTTCTTAAAAGTGGATGGTTTGTCTTCATTACCATTAGCTATTCTGATCATCAACCCCATCCTTTAGCCTAATTATAAGGCAAATGTTGCACACTGCACACACTACATTTGACTTCATATTATTATATTAGAAATAAAAGGTGTTTTTTTTAAGTCTATTCATGTGAACAGTGCTTATATCTTGCCACTTGTGGATTACTCCCTCTAATATGTCCCACAATTCTGGGTTTATGGTAGGTGTTCAACAAACATCTGAGAAATTGAATAACTAACGAAGAATATATAAACCTATTGTGATAGTTGTCATCAGAAACATAATGTGACAGGAAGGAAAGCATGGAGGTAGGGGGCCCTTTTGCTCCCATCTGTCTTGCTCATGTTGCTGTTAGCAATGGCTGAGTGTAGGCTCAAACCTCCAATGCCATCCATTTTTAGGACTAGTTGATTGGGCAGCTGAGTTGTTACACACTCCTTAACAGATTCCTATTTCCATGGCCAAGGCCACATGCTACTTCTTTCTAATGAGGGCATTTGCCCTCTTGGCTTCAAAGGTTGTCAAATGACTCAGACATTGACCAATCAGAGAATCACATCTCCTTAGTCCAAATAGTAGGTTCAATAATGGGCAAATTACCCAATTACAATTAAGGAGTCATTAAAAGGGCTCTGTGCAAGAGATTTTCTCTTCTACTGAATCAAAAGTGCCGAGAATGGAAGACCAAGAGTAGCTGCTGCCAGGTTTGACCTCAGTAGGAGAGAATCTGTCTGCGATTCAAGGCAGCATGGATCTGAGAGACAAACTGAGGGAAAAAAATGTCCTGGTGACATCATTTGGGCCCTATGCATTAGGCTGTGCCTGAGGCCAATACTAGCCCCAAATATTTCTGAGACAATTATCTCTTTAATACTTAAGCTTTTTTCCCTCCCAGTCCCTAGAAACAAGAAATAGACTTATAAATCCTTAATTCATTCCTGTAGTTGCAACCGTTTTCCAGATTGAAGAGTCAATCTGACTACTGAGCAGAGAAGGTAAGTATTCAAAACCCTAACCTGATAACCCCACAGTTAAGTCAGCCATGTTGAAAGCTCTGACCTTATCCCTTTGTGACAAATCATGTGCTTCTATAGCAGTTCCACTCACTAGGTTTCTGTCCTATCCTTCTTAGAGTTCCTAACACGTCTATTAGTACCATGGCTTGCAGCCAGACTTCTCTGATAGCAGGCTTTGACTTTATCTAGAGTATTTCCTCTCCTGGTGAATTTAATTGGGCCTGATTGGACTGGGCCATTACTGATGTGATGAGCTATGAGGTCTCCCTGGGAGGCTGGCTGCAACCTGCCTTTCAGCTTTAGAAGTCTGGATGTGTGTTTAGTCAGGCCAGACAGAATTGTTTGGATCCACTGATGCTAACTCACACCAAAGGATTTCTAAAAGCCCAGTACATAATCCAGCATGCCAGTTTACTCATCTACAGTGAGGGTCTTTCCTGGGTCAGACTCTTTCACATTATCAGGATATCAGGAACCAGATTACTAACCAGAATGTTCACAGATAGGCACAAAATCAGATAAAAGCAAAGAGAGATCCTGAGGGTTATGTCATCCAGGCCATGATGAAACCTGACTAAAATAACAGTCCTTCTCTATAACCAAATCCCCATCTCTGGTGACTAACTGGAACTTTCCTGTCCATCAGAGTCAGTCTCCACCCCTCCCCCCAACACACACACACACACACACACACACACACACACACACACACACAGTGCTGAGTAATTGTACCATAATAATGACCACCCCCACTGAACATCCTCTTTGTGTTGACGTACTCTTCAGAGTATGTAATTTAGGAAGTGGTTGTGTTAGGGAGGCTGACTGATTTGTCCATCTTCTCCATTATAATCTTAGTCTATCACTGTTCCCTTGAGGTTACATTCAAGTTACCTCAATCACAGTATTTGGTATTTTCCAAAACATTGTCTCACCTGTACAATGTTTGGGGTTGCCCCCACAGACAGCCAGTCTTTCCATTATGTGTAGATTTTTGCTAGTTTAGCTTTTAGATGACAAATCTTTGTCCCTGTCATGGTTGATCAAACCCCCAGTTTTGAGAGTGGAATGCAATCACACAGTTGTTCTCAGAGCTTTCCAACAAAAAACTTCGTGTCCAGGTTTACTTTACCTACTCTGAATCTTCAGCCAAGAACAACTTGCAGCTAGAAAAGTACACGTCTTCCATTAGAGGAATATGTCTTCAAGCACATTTACCTGTAACTTACTTAGAAAGCACAGATGGTCGCATTTGGAAGTACAACTTGTGTTCCCCACTAATCATGAACACAGATGGTACAAGATCAATGAAAATCAGTATTCGCAGCAACTGAGGTTTTTAAACCCTGGGGTGAGCCAATATTTGCCAGCAACCATGAAAGAACAGGCTGTCTTAACCAATTCGATCAAATTCTTCTTAAAACAATTCTAAATGTTCTAGAGAAAAGTAGTGGGCAGCTATTAAAGTCTTTGAAGTGTGGTTATAGGTGAAATGTATAAATGTTTTTACAGGTAAATAATGTCATTATTAAAAGAAAACAAAACTTTGGGGTGCTTGGGTGGCTCAGTCAGTTAAGTGTCCGACTTCAGCTCAGGTCATGATCTCACGGTTCATGAGTTTGAGCCCTGCATTGGGCTCTGAGCTGACAGCACATATCCTGGAGGCTGCTTCGGATTATGTGTCTCCCTCTCACTCTGCCCCTCCCCTGCTCATGCATGCTCTCTCTCTCAAAAATAAATAAACATTTAAAAAATTTAAAAAAAACTTTAACATACTCAACTTTTTTGTTTTCCTCCCACATATGTCATCCAGAAATTTTTCAAATGACAGGAGAAGTAAAACATTAAGCAAAGAGCAAATTATTTGTAGGAACAAGGAATTCCTATCAAAGGCTGTCAATCTCTAAATAGTGTCTAGACCATTGCTAGTGTGTCCAGAAGCCATGGACACTGCTGACAGAAACAGGATGTCAGTGAGAGCCTGGGAGGTCACGATGAGGCTAGAAAGACACCAGGTCCCAAGGGCCCTAACAGGTACCATACAACCTCCTTCTAATGGCTGGGCTTCACTTACAAGTGAAGCAAAAGGAGTTGCTAATGCAGTAGATCTCAGGCACATGAATTTATTTTATCTTTGGCAGTATTTAGATCACAGAAATGCCAATGGTACACACACAGAGAAAGCCCTATGGTCACTGTACAAATAAACCACTTTAACAGCAGCTGTTAATGCTGGGGCTTATGATAGACCTTGCCCTTCAGTGTAGACGTGAGATGTTGGTATGCATATCATCTTACACACAATTCAGTGCTCAGTACTCAGAGAACAAATTCAGTGAAGTACAGGGTAGATATAAAGACTTGCTCAGGGGGACAGTTATTTTTAGCTGTAGAAGCAAAACAAAAGGTCTTTGTTCTATGGATGCCAAGAATTGTATTTCTTAACTAGATTAGCACCAATTTGAGCTATTGGCGGAGGTTTTCTTTTTGAAAACATGCACTTTGGAAACATGTCCCAGAGTTTTAAAATTGAAAAGAATAAAGCTAAGTAAAAGAGATATCTATCTGAGATGATAGCAACTAAAAAGCTCTTTGGCTCTTGGGCTTTGAATTCAACCGAAAGCCATAAAAGAGTAATCTCAAGAAATATTAAGTGTCATTTATTAAAATCACTGTTTCATGGTTTTTCATCCTGCATCATTGATCAGAAAATCAAGCGAATTTTGGATTTATATCTAAAATGCTTGGTTCTTAGCAGCATGGCTATATATAAAATCTAAATGGAACATACACCTATATTTTCCCAGTGTATTTTCAGACGGGTAATAAAGGATTGGGTCTCAGTAACCTGGGAGATTATATCCCAGTCTCCCCCCCCCCTTTTTTTTGTCACTGTCTTGTGTGGCATTAACTGATGAGTAAGTACTGAGACCCATTCTGGAGAAAAGCATAGAGCAGTCACATCTCCTGATCTATTCAGTACTTCATTCATTCATTCATTCATTCATTCACTCATTCAATAAATACTATTTTGAGCACTTACTATATGCTTACCATTCACAATTCTAGGTGCTGGGACTTCATCAATAAAACAGAGCTTCTATTTTGGGGAGGGGGAGACAAGCAATGAACAATGACTAAAATAAATAATTAAATGAATAGCTTGTTCGAAAGTGTTGAGTGTTATTTTACAGTTTTCTACAGATAATGCTAATGCCAATCAGAATTAATACTCATGTAGCATTTCCTGTGTTCCAAATATTTTACGTCTATTGTTTAACGACCATCTAATTCTTACAACAAACTCATAAGGCAGCTACAGCATTTTACAGATGAGGAAATTAAGGCACAGAAAAATAAAATTGCCCAAATCACACTGCAAGTAAATGGTAAAGCTGGGGTTGCCTACTAAATAAACTTCTAGATCAAGACAACCAATTCTGCCTCTAAGAGTTGCAATGGAATTGCTCTCAAAAACATCTAAGTCACTTTGCTGGCAATGCCAGCCAGGGAGAGGCTTTGAATCATCATATAGCATTAACTGAAGAGGAAATAAGAATACTGAAGTGTGGAATCAAGGTGAATGGACAGTTGGTTCATCTTAAAAAAAAAAAAAAAGAAAGAAAGGAAAGAAAAAAAAGACCTTCTGATTTCAAACAGTGAATTTCAGGATTTTTTCTATTCCTCCCTCCTGCCCCCCAGACAACCCCCTGCAGCTATCTCCTTCTTTATACAGTCATCAATAGTGTGAGCATACATGGAGGAAGAGATAAAATGCTGAGCTTACTTGGCAACAGCCCCATAAGCAGTTTGGTTGGGGAAGATACTGCTGTAACTGGTAAAACCAGGTATTGGCTCTCAACCTCATAACGGTTGGCCTGTCAATTCAAGCTAGAACGTCATTCTAGCACATCAGCTATGTCAATAATTACAGCCTTCTTGAGGTACATTTTCATTTTCTTCATCAGTCTCCAGGATCGAATTTATCCTAGAAAGCATCGTGCCTTATAGGGGGTACCCTCCCTTTCAGTATTTTTCTAGAGGCAAAGAAATAGGCATTGGCCAGCTCCACATAGCATCCTAGTCAGAGGAAGCTGTGGTTTGACATAGGTTCTTCTGGACAGTGGCTGGACCACAAATAGAGATTGCTTTTATAATAAAAGATGGTTCTCATGAGCAGCACATATTGTTATGCCCATTTTACAGATAGCAGAACAGAGGCTTAGAGAGAGAAAATAACTTTCCAAACTCTCATTTATATAAGACCAAGAGTATTTGACTCTAAGGCCCTCAAGGTCCAAAGCTCTTTCCTATTTTACCTCTCAGCATCTTCTACAGGAGTCAGAATTTCAGACCAGGAGGTGAGCTGAGAAATCAGTTGGTTCATCCTTTGTTTTATAAATGACAGGTTATAAGACTTGTTTAAAGACATGGGGTAGGTTGGCAAAAGCATTTCACCAAAGGCAAATGCAGTCACACACATGGACTGATTCTGTATTGAGGAATGTACAGAAGATGAATACTGGAATTTAAAAAATTGTTTTAAGGTAAATGTATCAAGTTCATAAATTTAGGGGCCAAAAAGAGAAAGAATTAAATATATAATTACTAATTAAAAGTAGAATAGGAATGAGTCACCTGAAGTAGGTTTGGAGTATAGGTTAAAAAAGGGATTTGGGGGAAAAAAAGACAGAAGGTTTCTGTGTATGTGAAAATATTTAGCTTGAAATTACAGTGAAATGGCCAGAAAAAAATTGAGTAAAATGGCCAAAGATGTGGGAAGAACTGGTAGGTCTTGCCTGATAGTGTGATTCTGGGATTGCTTATCTGGGGAGGTGGATGGGTGGAGAAGGGCTCACTCTTGGTTGTTTTGTTGGTTTTTTGGGGGGGTTTTGTGCAAGCTCAGAATGCTAAGTGGTTGGCTTTAAAGTTGATCTACTGTTTTATTTTACTGAAAAAACAGAACAGAATATGAGTCATCTGGATTTCTCCATGGTTCCCACAAGAACCTAAATTACATGTAGTACCAAGTCGTATTTTCAATATTTACCACAGGCCAAAAATGTCCCCTTGAAATTTGATCAAAGCAAAATGGCAAAGCTGCAACCACAGCCTTGCCTTTGGTTCCTGGGGTTGGCTTTCTGGAACCACATCCACTGAAATCACTGAACTTTGCCAAAGAGCAAGTTGGTCTTCAGGGCTCCCTGCCTTCCATTTTAATCCCTTCTGCCTCCTCTGAGGGCACACAGTGAACAGCCTGTGCCCACACTCACCCTGCAGGCTGGAGTTGCCCATCTCTGTGACCCTTGTCCCTCTCGACCAAGAGGCTGATCCCTTAGCTTTGTTCTCTGTCCCTTTCCATAATAGTGCTTGTGCTCAGGGCCCTGCTCTCAACAGTCTTACGGAGTCATCTCCTTGGAGTCACTGATCAGCATTAAGTTGAACATTCTTATTTGCTCCACACCTCCAGCCCCTTTTTAAATAGGGGACATAATGCCTTTCCCAGGATGAAACATCCCTTTATGTTTAAATTTGGGGCACTTTGGAGGGCAGCCTGCTTATAAATCTTCGACCCTGATCTCATTTCACAAACCTGGACTTTTGCACAAGCTTGGAATGTTTTGTCTGCTTGACACGTGCTCTTGCTCTGCCTTTCTTACCTGGTGAAAATTCTGGTAGTACTCACAACCCTTTCCAAATGTGGTCTCCATCCAAAAAGGCTTCCTGACTCTCTAGAACTGTGCTGACACAGGAGCCACGGCCCCCGTGAGGCTACTGAGCACCTGAAATGTGACTGCCCCAAAGTAATATGTGCTAAAGCACACACCAGATTTGTAAGACCTGGTATACAAATAAGTAAAATATATCATTGATTTTCATATTGATTATGTGCTGAAATAATATTTGGATATATTGGGTTAAGGAAAAATATTATCAAATAAATTTCATCGGTTTCTTTTCTTTTTCATGCGGCTACTAGAAAGTTTGAAATTATATATACGGCCTATGTTTGTAGCTTACATTCCATTTCTATTGGATAGTGCCACTCTAGAATCCAGACCAATGGTTTTGAAATGACAGTGGGAGCTGGAGAGTATGGATGATTTCTGAATTTCTGTCTGAATGTCTGTGGAATGGCACTTTGGACTAAAATAAACTGTTTCTGATGAATGTCGATAACGTATTTAAGATAATCAGTAAAGAACAGTCTTAGTTGTTATATCCAAGCAGTATTCATCTTTCATTAATTTTGCTGAAATCCCCATTCCCTCCCCTCCCATCCCTAGCCCTGGGGATAAAGGAAAAACAGGGTGATACTGTGTGTAGTCTTTTGTTCAGTTGAACAGTGTCTGGACTAGACAGACAAAATGGAATATGTTCCAGTTAAGTACAGACAACTGTGAAGAGGAGGAGGGAGGGAAGAGGGAGGAGTAGGAGAAGGAGGAGGAGGGGGGGATGAGAAGAAGAAAGGAAGCTAATATTAACTGCTACACACAGTGCTAAACATTTCCACATAACCAGAATTTCCTGAACTATGCTCAGAAACCATAGTTCTGAGAGATATTCATAGATGTCGTATTGAGGGTAGGGAGGGGAAAAGAAGTTCCATAAGCAATTCAGATTGAAGAACACTGTACTGAACAAAATTAACCAGCTTTCTTAATTGCGGGACTTTTCAGAGCCTTTAATATGCTATGAAACATTATGACAGCCCACAAGGGAAAAATTGAATTCAGTGTTTCCAAACTTATTTGGCCACAGAATTCTCTTTCAAGAAATACCTATCAACATCACCAACATTTACTGGTTGGTAAAATTTGTCATAGACAATGTCAATTTCATCTGCATTTTATAGGTAGGAAACTGTGGCTTAGGAAGTTAAATGACTTCCCTACTATTTCAATCTTACATAATTGTTCTGTGCTTAAGCCAAAATTACAAATTCGTATTTTCACCAGAGGAAGGAATGTTTTTTAAGTAGGCTTCATAGCCAACATGGGCCTTGAACTCATGGCCCTGAGATCAAGAGTTACATGCTCTACCAACTGAGCCAGCCAGGCGCAGTTAGAATAGGCAAACATTATTATCGTGGAAAACTCACAACACATGTAGAAGCACACTTAAAAATGGTTTAGTCACTTCTCTCCACATAGTCCAAGCTCATTGACCCAAGTTCAGACTCCACCCCCTCTCTGTTCTTAGATGAAAGAGGTCTTTTTTTTTCCTGAATTTTCCAGAATTGGTTATTTAAATCTTGGCATATACTAACGTTAGGTTTTTATATGCACACGTCTTATCTATCTAAATAGATTGGAGCTTGCTGTGGTATTACTTTGAATTCCCCACAGTGTGTCTTGAGACGGCAGAAGCTGTCTAGAACCTTGTTGGGCTCAACAATAATGGCTTGTGGTATCTTTTTACGGTATCTAAAGGCTAGGGAAACATTAGCTCTTGGTTCAGAGACACCACGTGTTCACCTCCGTTGCAAAGCCAGTATCAAATAGCGTGATGTTTAGCACTGACATACCTGTAAAATGCAACTCATGATATCAGAAGCAATTTTTGCATGCGGAGTGTCTTCGTCTTTCCCAGAGGGTCTCAGGTTGTGTTCCAAGCAGGAGTCCCAGAGCCCCACAAGGGCCTTGGCATGCTTTTCAATGGACTCTGTCTCTCTGATGGCTGTTGTGATTCGCGTGATACAGATTTCAACCACTGCCTGGTCATTGTTATTGGTTTGGTAATCCTAGTTGAAAGAAAACCTTAATATTAAATAACGCTCTGGAAAGTTATCTTTCAAAGGACCGATAAAATGCCAACTTACTCATTTAGCAAGTGGGTGTGCCATACTGTGTGCTAAGGGGTGAGGTTGTAAAGCTCCAATACAAGGAGGGCCTTCTTCCTTGGGGATGAGAATCTTGTGGAGGAGGTGATAGGCAAATGAGCTAAAATGGAGCAGGTTCCTGCTCTCACAGATACATAGCCAGGGAGCAGGGAGAGTTCAAAGCAGCTTGATTATTCACTTGCCAAGCGGGTTTAATCTTCAGGCTGTCTCAGTTTCTTTCTTTTCTTTCCTTTTTTTTTTTTAATGTTTATTTTTGAGACAAACAGAGACAGCGTGAGTGGGGGAGGGGCAGAGGGAGGCAGAGAGAATCCCAAGCAGGCTTCACGGCTCGGCGCAGAGTCCAAAGTGGGGGTCAAATGCACAAAACAGTGAGATCATGACCTGAGACAAAACAAGAGTCTGTCGCTTCACCAACTGAGCCACCCAGGCACCCCAGGCTGTTTCAGTTCCTAGGCCCATTACAGGTCAGGGTTGACATTTTTACTCTGACATTTCAGTAATTTTTGTGAAATGTTTCAAATCACCCTCCAATTTCCCCACATAAGCTTTCTTTCTCTTTCTCTACACAGTAGAACACATCAATTCAGCTCTCCATCTTTGGTTCAAATAACTACCAAATCGATGTTAGCTTTCCCCGAAAAAATTTCCCTTCATTCAACTATTTAATTCTCCCTCAAATATCTAATCATCTTTATTGAGAGGTAATATGACCCTCCAAAACATCTAAATGTGAAAAATAGGCCCATCACTTTAATTTGGAAAATTGGTCTGCCACTGGCTGGTAGACTGACAAAAATGAAAACATAATCGAGCAGTGAAACAATTTGATCCTTACACCCTCGTGAGCTGTTAGAGATGGGAAGTGATGGGGCTTTTCTGTCCACTGCAAGCTGCAGCTGGAACAATCTGGTTTTGCTATTGTATCTAAAGCCGCAGCAAACATCTTATGCATGAAGCCCTCTCCATACTTAGATTATTTATGGCCTAGATTCTCCAGAAGTGGAATTTCTGACACAAAACACGGGAGAATGTCTAGGGCTCATGATACATACTGCCAAACTATTTTCCGAGAAGGTCTTACAGTGTATATTCCCTTCAGCTAGGTGAAAGCATGCTTTCTCCATCACGCCTTTGCCAGAACAGGGTATTTTTAATCTTTGCTAATTTGATCAGTGGAAAACAGTTATCTCACTGCTGTGTACTTGGAATTTCCTTGATCAGAGGTGAGGTTGAGTATTTTCACATGTTTGTTGGTCATTTGTATATAGTCCTTTGGGAATTGCCCATTGTATCCTATGTCAATTTTTCCTTAGATGACTTCAATTTGGGGATCCTCCTTTGAGATCTTTTTCTACCAAGGATATTAAGTCAACATTTGACATATAGGTTGTGAATACGTCTCCATTTTTCATTATTTTTAGTTTCTTTGCTCCTATCTATTGACATGGTAAGTTTTTTAAGTGGACAAAACTGTCAAACTTTTGGGATTTCATTGTTTTTCCTTTTCTTTTTTTTTTTTAATTTTTTTTCTACCTTTATTTTTATTTTTATTTTTATTTTTTTATTTTTATTTTTTTTATATATGAAATTTATTGTCAAATTGGTTTCCATACAACACCCAGTGCTCATCCCAAAAGGTGCCCTCCTCAATACCCATCATCCACCCTCTCCTCCCTCCCACCCCCCATCAACCCTCAGTTTGTTCTCAGTTTTTAACAGTCTCTTATGCTTTGGCTCTCTCCCACTCTAACCTCTTTTTTTTTTTTCCTTCCCCTCCCCCATGGGTTCCTCAGAAAATTAAAAATAGACCTACCCTATGACCCAGCAATAGCACTGCTAGGAATTTACCCAAGGGATACAGGAGTACTGATGCATAGGGGCACTTGTACCCCAATGTTCATAGCAGCACTCTCAACAATAGCCAAATTATGGAAAGAGCCTAAATGTCCATCAACTGATGAATGGATAAAGAAATTGTGGTTTATATACACAATGGAATACTACGTGGCAATGAGAAAAAATGAAATATGGCCTTTTGTAGCAATGTGGATGGAACTGGAGAGTGTGATGTTTTTCCTTTTCTAAATTGGAAATTTGAGGGCTTTTTTTCCCTTTTCTTTTCTAAAAGTAATACATGGGCCTAGTTCAAAAAAACCAAAGGTATAAAGGAAGGTTTACAGTGAAAAGTCAATCTCCCTCTCACCCTGGTTTCCTGCCCTGGGGAAAACAATGCTCACAGGGTCTCCTGTGTTTGCCAAAGGCACTCCAAGCACATGAAAATATCCACCTACACTTACTCCTTTCTTACTTGTTATTCCTTTAATGGCTCTGTTTTTTAACTTCAAACTTTCCTTACTCAAAGGTTTAATAAAAATTCTCCTGAATTTTTTCTAGATTAAAAAACAAAAACTTGGGGTGCCTTGGTGGCTCAGTCAGTTAAGCGTCCAACTTTGGCTCAGGTCACCATCTCAATGTTCGTGAGTTCAAGCCCTGCATCAGGTTCTGCATGGTGGTGTGGAGCCTGCTTGGGATTCTCTCTCTCTGCCCCTTCCCCACTTGTTCTCTCTCTCTGTCTCTCTGTCTCTCTCTCTCTCTCCCCCCCAAAATAAATAAACTTAAAAAAATAAAAATAAAATAAAACTTAAACCATTTAACATTTGGGGTTTTAGAAATTAATTTGCTAACCAATCAGTTAGCTCTTAAATCTATTTATAGAAGATGTACATTTTACAATAAATAGCTAATTTAATGTTCCCATCACCATGTATTGAATAATTCTATTCCTAGTAATTGTTTTATATACATCAGCTTCTATTTCAGAGTTGTCTTTTCTGTTTGTACGATTTTTTAATTCTTTTACAATATTAATTTTGCCATTTCCTCCATACAAACTCCACAAAATTTTAAAGATATGTCCTAGTGTATTTTATGTCTCTGCTGTGGCTGTTAACAAAATCTATATTATTTCATCCTCAGAACTTTTAATTAGTTATTGCTGAATAAGTCAGCCTACACTTTTTTTTTTGTATTTATTTTGTACGTAGCTGTTTAGCTCAATTCATCTTAATTATGATACTTTTTTTCAGATCATTCTCTTGGGTTTTCCAGAAACATCTCTGTATTGGATCTATACCTTTTGTATATTCCATAGCTTATTGTGTTGACCAGTAGTTCCTAAGCTATTTCACACAAAAGTAATAAAAGCAAGAATGCATGTTTAGTTTGTGGTTTTAGTTCCTGATTTTTGATTTAAAATGTTATGGTCAAAAGCAAGAAAATACTGCAAATATTTTAAAAGCATATAGGATGTATCACTTTCTTCCTATTTTCAAAGTTTATGCATTTGTTTTAATTTTTTTAACTGTCTTATAAGCATCTATGGAGATAAAGAAGCACTTTTTCTTAGTCAACTTATGTATGTGTTATGTTAACATATAGTATGAAACGTCCATATATTAATCCATCCCCACATTCCTAGAATGAACACCACTTGGTTGGTGGACTGTTTTAGTATATTTTCTACATTCCTCCTTTGTTGGTGACTGTATTCTTTATTTTAATGCCACAGAATAATTACTTATGCCAGAACAGAATGCTGCTATGCAGTAAACACGTTCTTATGAAGCCAAGTCACAGAGAAAACACAGGATGTGAATGAGCAAAAAATGATTCTAGCTTTTCCAAAAATCTCTGTGGCAGCATGGAAAGCCAAAATCATTCTCAGGGTGAAAAATAACAGAGAATACTCTTGGGCTAAAATCACTCTTTTTGGTCACAATTGCCCTTGTAAGTAGCAGTTACTTTTAACGGCATTATCTTCAAATATCAAGCAGCATCATAGGTAATAAAGAGTATTTTATGTAATAAAGAGGATATATACATAAGGGTAGATAGAACAGGGAACCAATGTCATAGATGGAAGGAAGTCTATATTCCAAATGACATCAGCCAAGCCTTTGTCATGGCCACCCCAGTGTGATCCACAGTGTGATCCAATAGGTGAACAAATGGAATAATCTTGGTGCCAAGAATAAAAGCTATTTATCACCCAATAGCATCAACTCCCATTCACCAACGTGCTCTTGTTATTGCCATTACCTAAATATGGAATTTGTTAGCAACGGAGATTAATGCTGAGCCCCAGAATGGCACCATCCCTCAAGGACACCAATCAATCATTTGGTGCAAGTTATTTACATGAGTCATTTTCCACCTCGGAAAGAACATCAGTTATATTGAGTGGAATTTACACGTAATCCAGGTTTGAGTTTGACTTTCCTGCCCATAGGGCCTAAGCCTGAACCTCTATTTGAAGGATCACAGAGTATTTGGTGTGTTGAAACAAGATCCTACTTAACTTTGCATCAGGCTAGAGAATCACTTTATAGCAAAGGAGATAGAACAATGGGCACCTGATCATGGATTCATTAGTCCTATCACATATGATAACCTTTCTTTCCCCTGCCCTGAAGCTCCTGGACTAATAGATCAATGGAACAGGTCTTCAAAGGAGCAACTGAGCCTAATATCTTATGAGGTTGAGGAACTAACTTCTAAGAGGCAACATACATACTAAAACAGTGACTATTACATGGTGTTGAATTCCCTATGGGTAGAATACATGAGCCTGAGAACTCAGTCACTTCAAGCTCTTGGGTCAAGAGATCAGCAAAAGAAGAAAAGAGTGACCACCCTGATAAGGGTAATTGACCATATCATTAGGAGGAGGTGGGGCTGCTGTTGTGTAATGGGGGCATCTCAAGGTACTCCCCTGCCTAATTTTGGTGGTAAATAGACATGGGGGTCATCACACTTTGAGACAGGGATGGAGACCAGGGACACAGATCCCTCAGGAAACAGCATAGGAGTCACCCAACTAGAAAGCAAGTTAAATCAACAGA